TAAGAGCTTCTCATTTCCTTTTGCTTCTCTGTGACCTCAGGAGTTTACTGGCATTCTGCAAATTTCACCACATCTGTGGTTTAGACAGTTAAATATGATTAAACCAGTTTCATGGCAGGTAAGCAAAGGTGCAGAGTGACTTGCTTGTGACCACAGAATGCATAATTGGTATTGAAACATTTGTGTCCTGACACTCACTGCTTCTCTACCTACTAGCAATCCATTTGTTTCCCAAGATACCTATCTCCAAAGCCTTGTCCTACAAAGAGGTAGTTTTCCAAGAGTTGCATTCACATTAGTGTCCAGTCCTATGGAAAAGCCTTTGAGATAAAGCAGTGTGAAGCCCATTATTACGGAGATGCTGGGACTAATGAAATATCACCTCAAGGGACCTAACTTCATAGGCTTTCCTGTGCTTCTGACACTAGGATTGTCCCTTTTTACAGAAACAAGGTTGCCTTTGTCCCACGCAAACCACAGCTATTGTCTCACTTTTGTTATCGTAAATAACTGACATCACAACAGCTGAATCAGGAAGCTGAGGTTACAGAAAATGTTTTTTGTACTTGAAAGGGAACTGTAAATAGACAGGGATAGGGGGAAGGGGAATCCAACCACTTCAGAAATATGCTGAATACTCCAGTAACCAATTTCATTTGAAAGATGTAAATACACACCACACCCAAAAACATTCCATGCATTTATGTCAGCAGTGAGCTCATGAGATACCCAGCTCCTGTGGGGTATTACACAGGTCCACAGAGGTACATTTTAAAACACCTTGTTCTTCTTTGTCCTTACATGCCTTAAATTTGTTACAGATGTGATGCTGCCTCAGCTTTAATGGGGAAGATTTTCTAATTTCTTAAGACTTAGCACTTTAAATTCAAAAGATACATATCTCACCATCTGGTCAAGCATCAAACACAACAAGAGCCATGGTCCTTTCACGTAATAGAGAGATGGGTTACAGAAATTAATCTTTTGACATTTTTACCTGTCTGACATTTGTTTCTCTCCTTTTGATGTTTATTACCCATACTATTCTCAGCAACTTAAGAAATATACTTAATGTTATGGCAGAGAAGGTACCCTACTGGTTGCATCACTGGAGATTTCCTTTCCATAAAGTATTATGGGAAGATCAAGGAGGTGGTTAATTTTAATTATTTCTCTAAGAATGAAGCCTAGACTGAAAAGAATATAGGAAAAAGTACGGCGACTAGCTGGTGGTGTAATTTTTAAATTTAAACCCAAGAGTTTTCTTACATAATTGGACATCTTTTGTTTTCTGCGTGTTGTGCACTGGGACCAGTGACTGTAACTAGTGCTCCCACATCCTTTCCATCCCTGTGGTGCTTGCAGGGCAACAGAGCCCAAGCCCGTGGATATTTGGGCCCAACACTGTTGCTTGGTAAATACATGTAGCAGTTTAAAGCTTCATACACAGGCTAGATTTGCACGCTTAGCTGCTTTCATTTGCAGTCTCGTGCCTTTGCTTAGACCCACCAGCATAGGTGGCATTTCTTAAAGAGCTAATGAAGTTTTTCATGCCAAAAGGACCTGAGTTGTACTCAAGCATTCAGTTCAGATCAGGGCAGTGCTTTATGGCCAAGGGTCAGGGATTACATAGCTGGTGGTTAATAGCATCTTGTATTTCTACTGATAATTTCCCAGTGTACTTCCATCAGTAGCCCATGTCCCTTGACTGTAAATGCCAACAAGCCTCACTTGCTCTACAGGCACAAGCTGGTGCTATTCTGGTTGGGTTGTAATGGCTCCTGAACTGTAGCTAGACCCTATAAAGGGCTCACAGCCAATTTAAAGGTGACAAAACCCAGATTGCTACTAAAAATGTAGACAGCCCGTGTTTCCTACCTGAAGTCAACTTCATTGGTGCTATTGAATTCAATGGCAACATTCTTAGGCCCCCTAGAAAGGAAGTACACACCTTTCTACCTTCTTACCCCCACATCTCAAAGCCTTGAATTTAGAGCTCTTGCCATTAAATGATTTATTTTTAAAGAGCATTTCTTTTTTATGTCAGCATAAATCTCTTTTCCACCTGAGTGTCCTCATCTTCACTGACACTGCTATAGTTAACATGGAGGCTTTTCACCACCCATGGCTTGCCACTTCAATTTGAGATAGACCATGAAAATTATAACACTTGGCTCTTAAACGGCAAATATACATCAATACAGATGTATTGTTAAAAAGAGCTTTTTAAAAATCACTGGCATTATTTCCATTTTATGGATGAGGAAGACTGATGGGTTGAATAATGAAAAGATTTATATAGCCCAGTGCCAGAGTGAAATATACTGTTTATACTGGTGAAAATTGAGCCTTGACATTCTACTGGCTTAACCACTTGTATGCAGGTGATTTTCAGGGGAGATAGCGATGAGGAGCAGCTACCAGGGAAGCTACCAAGGAAGCCTCGTGGGCTGCTGCCTAAAGCACTGGGCTGAGCTCCAAAACATGTTCTATTCCCAGCTCAGATATTTTAAATTGTAAAAGGAATTCTTCCTGGACGTAAGATACCTCACAGCCTCAGAAACCTGTTTACTTGTAGATAGAGTCTGGTTTTAAATGCAGCATGCAATTAATTGGTGCTGAGAAAGAAAAGAACGTTTTTGCTTGCTGCTATCCACAAATACTCCTGTTTTCTGGAGGTCGATCAGTAGAGCTCTGGACTTCTGTCAGTCAAAATAATGAACTCTACTCACTGGCTGACTAATCTTTCCTACCTTTTTATGTAATATTCTTTCTCAAAATATTATTTTTACTTGTAAAGCACTTTCCCTTTTACAGCAAAGAATTTCAAGTTGAAGGTCTTACTCTCTTTTCCTCTGAGGCCATTTTACACTTTTCTAGCAAAGCAAGAGGCATAGAGTATCTATATGTGAAACATTAAGGTCCCATATATTACTCGTCAATGGCTAGAGTTGATTTTAAAAATTATGTTTGGCTATCTTCTAACACAATATGCACTAGTCTTTTCCATAACTTTGTCAGAACTAGAGGTCATTGTGTTGGGATGATCCTTGCATCCCCTGTAAATACACCAGGCAAGGGTTAAGCTATCTCACTTAGGCATCAATAGTCATCTAGCTACAGCAGCACTTAAAATATTAAAAATACCTCAGAAGGGGAGTTTAGCAAAGTGGTGTAATAGACAGTTTTCCCCACTGGAACTGCTAATTCAAAGCAGCAACAGTGTTTGTTGATGGTCAGCTCCTAACTTGGATTCCAGCAAACAGGCAGTCTATCTGGCTTACTTTTAGCTCTGAATATTTTAAATAGTCTGTCTTGGTTCCCCCAAAATAGTCTCCAAAAATTTCACTCTGTGAGGAGAAAGAATATACTTTTGGCATTTTTTCTTTTCTTTTTCTTTAAAAAAACAAACAAACAAACAAACAAACAAAACCCAAACCAAAACAAAAAAAACCCCACAGTTGCAGTTTCAGTCAAGAGAGGTGCCTGAAATGAGCTCTTCTGCAGAATGGAAATTCCACTCCCCATACACCTCTGACTGGGAGGGTTTTGTTATCAAACTTTTTAGGACTTTGATATCTCATAAAAGGTACTTCCTCAAGGTACAAGGAGAGGCAGGGGTTATTGCATTGGCAGGCGCTCGTAGTGCGTCATGGCTGAGGCATGCACTGCAGCCCTGGTGGAACCACAGCCACCAGAAACCCTCCCTGCACCCATCCTGAAGTTCTAGCCCCTTGGCTTTCCTTGGGAGCTATGCTGTTGACTTCAACCAGGGCAGGTTTTCACCATAAAATTTTATTTAGGTGTCAAAAATGTCCTTTTTTCAGATATCCAGATCCGCCTCAGCTTGTTAGCATGAAGGAAAATGGGAACTGACATATTAGATCTGACCAGAAGCCTGTTGGTTGCCTAAAGGAAGACGCAGGAATCCCTGCAAGAGGGATTCCTGGCAGTTACAGGATTAGCCAACTACAGCAGGGTTGGTTTCATCCTAACTTTGATCACATAGAGATTGGCTTAGAAACATCTGAATTAATCTAATGACATGCTGGAGTTCACCTCCCTTTTGATTCAGTCACTTAAAACTCACTAGTACAATTCTGGATGTTTCTTGTGAGGGGAAATAGCAGGTTCCTGAGATTTCCATCTCCCAGTGTCTTTTTCTATATTAGCTCTCTGGGACTGAACGGCTTGTTCATTAGTCCACAGCAAACACAAGCAAACTTTGGGACACAGGTATAACTAACTACCCCTTTACTCAAGCACTGCCCAGTACAGATAGTAACCAAACAACTGCACGAGTGTGAAAGCAAGGTGCTGGAGAGCAGTGGTAGGTGCAGCTGGACTCCCCCCAGGGCCTTCCTGTCCTGTTGGAACTGGGGCTCAACAAAACCCACTGAGCTCTGTGTTCCTTCTGTGCTTGTCTGCGGCAGACCTATCTCATTCATACAAACATCGTGGAGGGATGAGCGTTGCTATTCCTCTGCAGAGCCCCACCCTGTCCATTGCTTTTGATTCTGCTCTGCATTTGGTGGGGGGAAAATCTAAAAGCAGGTGAGTCTTGTGCCTGTTGTTGTCTATTGGTATGCTGCTCTTACCAGCTGGGTTACCTTAGCAACTGGGCTGTGTTTGACTTTATGAGCTGCCAGATTTGTTTCTTCCCTTTCAGGAGTTTGAGGAAAAGCCAGGTAATGTTTAAACTATTCAGAGGCACATTGTCTACCACTCTATTGGTTTGGCCCATAAAACTATTGACTGCTGTTGGAATGAGGACAGGCAAGATTCTTACCCTGCCAAAGTCATGAAAGAGATCAACCTCCAGTTTTGCTTCTGACTTGCCTCAGCCCTTCAGTGTGCCACGCATCCAGAGAGCACAGGGGCATAGCATGAACCCCGCAGATTTGTAGCAAGACATGTGTAAGTGATTTCTCAATAAAAA